GCCCCTTTCAAAGAACCCAAGCAGAATAAGCACAGGACACCCCCTCCCAAAAAATTGCTGTACCTGCCCATCATTCCTCTCTCTTCCATTTTATTTCCGTGCTGTACAAAGACACCTGTCATAGCATTCTGTGTAAATTACTACCTCTCCCAGGACCTGTATCTACAGCCAATCTTCTTTTTACACTTAAAAAAAAAAAGGGGGAAAAAAAAACAAAACCCGGAAACCAAATGACTACTGTAGACACTCTTAAGTTCCCTGTCAATCGTTTCATTATAGCAGCATCATCTGTTTGAAAATATAAGCAATTCCCTCATCTAATTATAGGGAGGATTTGAGGTTCATTAACATTGCCAAGGCAGAGAATCAGATGTGCAACTGCAGAGCTGTGCTCAGTGGCCTGCATTCTCTGTTTCCTTTTATTTGCTTTTTCAAGGTCTCCAAGACTTTTTCCTGAAACCATAAAAGTAATTCTTTCCTTCAAAATAGACACGTGTGTTTAGAAAAAGGAAATGACTGCATTTTGTACTGTTCTATTATTGGGCAAGGTCACTGGAGAAAAATAATTTCACCTAAATCATTTTATCTCTGATTCTGGATGAAAAAAAAAAGAATAATACTATGCAAGCAACCGTTACTTTTGAACAACAGATCAGAGGAAACCTTGTGTTTGTCTCATAATTTTAAATATTGCAAGGTAATGCGGATGAATAGGAAACTTAACATGCCAAGAAAACCTCTTAATTTTCAACACATTTTGTGGTTGTTTATGGATTAACATGCTAGCCAAGTGTAAAATGTTGCCTTGTATTTCCTAACTGTGTTTAGAAACTGAGAACACCAAAGTCTTCATGATTGCTTCACTTCCTTAAAGAAATAATGGCATTTTTTTTTTTGCATGAATGTAGTTTAAACAATGACATTTTCTTGGGACATCTGTTTTGAGATCGTATTTTGAATAGATATGAACTCATTTCCTACTAAGCAAGTAATTTACTATTGTTGATAGTTGTTTACAAGTTTTATGAGTCAGATTTTAGCAAGTGGCAAAGGTCTTTACAAATCCTTTGAGTATTCCCTAAAGTGTATGCATAGTGTTTTCATTATATAAAATGTTCGGGAAGCAAAAGTATAGGGACTGTTCTTCACTTCCTACCAAGTTATAGATAGCAAAGCCTAGCTCACAGAAATAGCTTTAAACACATTTATTTTCAAAGGCTTCTATCTTTTGCTGCTGCAGGTTAATGAAGTATGATAGCAGGGCAGTAAGTACTTAAGCAGCAAGCAAATAATTGAGCTGCTCTACCTATCTATAACTTCGGAGTATTAAACAGTAAATATACAACTGATCCTAATATCATCCTAAGATGTTAATATGACAAAGAGCAGAACCTCTTCAATGAAATTTAAAGTTTGACCTTGTCACTCTCTTTCTTTTAATTCCGCAATTAAATAAAAAAAAAAAAAACAACCAACACACAGCATAATCTTTTTTTGTTTGCTGCCATACGGAATTCATTTTTTAAACAAAAAACCAGTAATTTATCTATCCTGCATGTTGTATGTAGAATTGCCACTAAAAAGAACCCAGGACATTTTTCCTTCTTATCTGCAATGTAGCTCATATCAGCCAAGCTGTCACAAGACAGTACTTGATATAAACAAGAGATTGCAAAGACATCTCAGTAATCAATATTAGGATGGCTACAGTATGGAAGCCCCAACCACTGCATATCATTTGTCTCAGCATCTATTTCTATGACCAAATGAAGCATTAATTCAAATCATAAATCTATGGTGATTTAAATCTGGGAATGAGCACCTGCCTGCTTTAATGATTTATTTTGTACATTTCAGTAAGCAGGAGATTTGTCCATATGAACTGACAGGTCACCTTCAGATGCCAGTAGCAGACTGTTTATCACCATGCAGACTAGCATCTCATCTTAGCAAGTAAATATTAAACTAAAAGAATCCAATTGATTGCGGATGGGGGAGAAAGGCGTTGCAGCCATACATTTTACTCAGTGTGCTAATACCTCACTCTGATTCCTCTGTAATTTCTTTTTCTTTTTCCCCTTTTTTTCCCCCTTCTAAAATAATAATTCTGGTGGGAGGATGCAAGCCCAAGGTTACCATACAAAACTGAAGGATATAAAATAATTACTTATTAGTATCATTGGCTTCCTTTAACTCCCTTCACTCACTAACCTTTTGGCCATTGCTTCAAAAGACCAAGTTAATAAATTTGTGTAGTGCTCTGTATAATTATACAATGTTCATCTACAAAAATGACTTCCATAATTCACATTAAGCATCTGATTAAAACCAAAAAGTAAGACAATTCAAAAGTAAACCTGACAATTCAACTCAAGAGCCCATATTTATCTTCTTTTACACAGGAACTGGAACAGCCTAAGAACACGGTATGATCAATCCATGTACACTAATACACCATAATTCCTGTTACATATGGGCTAAACCAGCTTTTAGCCTGGTTGGTTAGTTTGTTCCTTTTCAGCTTGGTCAGGCACATAACATAATTTAAAATATAAACCAAAATCAGTTTATTTTCTTTTGTTTTAATCCTTCTTCTGTCAACATTCAGTAACATAGTATTTCAAATTCATGCCTAACAAGCCATAATTTAAAACATTAATGGTATATGGACTTGATAATATTTATTTGAAAAGACATAAATAAACATCTGAAAAAAATGCAGGGGGAAAAAAAAGCACACACCTACTACAAAGCAACACCTTTGAAATACGAGTTCTTGTCAAGATAATACAACATGCTAATTTTCAAAAATGCAACTAATAAATAGAGACTTAACTCTTAATGAATCTAATAATACCCTGGCATTAGTAGTAGTAGGAATAGGCATAACCGACACTGGACACTAGATAGGGCTCACTAGAAAAGAAACAAATAAATGCAAACTATTTTTGAGACAACCTCCATAGGAAGAGTATAGCTCAAGACTGGATGCACAGACAAGCACACTGTATTTCCAGAACCATTCTTCATGGAATGGAGACAACTGGAATGTTATTCACTCTACTCAGAAGAGCCTTTTTTTTCTGAACAAAATTAATTCAATTCTTTATTCAGTTCAATCGGGAAATTAACTGAAGTTTACAAGTAAGTTAAGGGGCTGAGAGGAAATTTTGACAATGACAATAAATAATCTTGCTTTGCTAACTTTGCCCTACTAAAATAGCTAGAATGTATTTTCTTAAACAGGGAAAATGATTAAGCTGTGTAAATGCAGATTAGTTATCTAAATTATGCCTCAAACAATGACTTCAAAATATATTTTTTTTCTTTTTTATTCAGAGGAAATTCAGGTATTCCCTCCATCCACTCTCCTGCAAATACTTCACATAGTTTAGATGTTGATTACCTGTTAACTTTTCCATTTCCATGGATGTACAAGTGGTTTGTCACTAGAACTGCCAAGCAGAATAACAGTTCCATAATCTAATATTTGAACATTTTATTTCACATAATGCATTCAACTAAGTCTGAAATTCAAATCTAAACCAGCTTCTAGTTCTAGTACAGACTCTTTACTCTCCCAGTTTGTACTTACATTTTTTACCCTTTCTCATTACTTCACTTTTATTCCAGTATGTTCGGGGCCACCTGGCTCTTCCACTTCATTTATACCTATCTCCTCCTCCCAGATTTCAAAGACACCTGCTCTCTACCTGCTCTTGTCTTCTCTCCAAGAGGACAATCTTTCCACTAATATTCTAGTGACTGCATGTGTTGGTATCTGAGTACTAACACAACTAATTTAAGACTATTTTCTTCGCCATCACGGAGGCATTTTTTTAAGCCTTTCTTTAAAAGGAAAACAAAAATCTGGTTGTCTCCTTATGCAGTAATGCATACATATTGCTGTTATTTAAAATAGCATGCGTCTAGGTGAACGGGTTCTTTGAACTGCAATTCACATTATTTCTAAATAATAGCCTACCAACACCTACCGAACGGTACAGAAATGCTGTTCACAAACACGTATTTATTTACGTTAACATAACTCTCTAAGACTCATTTCAAATGTATTTAGGAGATGAAAAACTAAAAAATAAACAAAACTAAACAAAGGAGCAAAAATTAAAACAAACAAAAAATCCCTATCTTAAGCCATTTTTTTCCAATATACACCAATCTTGCCTGCAGTCTTCTGAATGTACCTCTTTGTCATTGAATTTCTGTTGCTGAGTTAATACTGTCTCGACATGATAAAAGGAGCCAATACAATGAAATGGCATAACAAAACATTTTACAGCAGACACACACAGATGATTAAAGATTTAATCAACAACAACAAAAAGTTACTCTAGCTTTGAAGTATGCTTTAGCAAAACAAATTGTCCAAACAAATGAATAAAGTATACTGAAACAATTCTTTTTTGAGAAAGAACATGAGTTGCTGATGGCTGCTTAAGAAATGGAAAAACCTGTTAACTACATTTTAAGAATGTGTTTATTAAAATAAAATATGATAGGAACTGCAGAGCATGGCAATAATTTATTGTGTATGTATGTTTTCCTTTTGTCACAGGGCACATGAAAGTATGAAATATTTTGCTTTCAAGCTTGTGTTCTGAATTACCTAAAGTCGATACCCAGCACACTGAGCAGGAGACATTGTTAAATTTCACTTTGACACCATCATCTGTCACCCCACCTGTACTTTGAAAAATGAACTCTAAGCAATCAAACCACTTTCTTTCATGGAAAATATTAACTGGAGTCTGCAAAAGTAACCTGCAAAGGAAAGAATGTTTTTGTAATAGTAACAACAACACTGAACGCTGGTGTAAAGGTCAGATACAAAATAAAACTACAAACAGCAAGAAAAGGAAAACAAATATACAACTTTTTACACCAAATCAAGGACTTCAGAGGGAAGTCCAGAAGGATCACCATTTTAATAAAATATCAGAGCATTATGCACATATAATAATGCTGTGTCTGAGACTTACCGACACTTGAATTCAGATCTCCATTTTCAGAGTCTGCTCCATGCTGGTTATTATTTGCATGATAGTTGGACATAGCTTCCAATTTAATTTTTTTCACTTTCATTGCTTCTGCTATGGCGGCATTGGTGGCAGCTGCTGCCGCTGCAGCTGCTGCTGTCAGGCCTGCAAAGAAGTATGAACAAAATTTAATATACATTATTCTATGATTCTTCATTATTCTTCCCTATTGTAGGGACTGTTACTCTTCCTTTATGCTTGCTACGTAATGAACAGAGAACATTGCAGAGTATTATTCCTCTTGTTTGATTTGAAGTTTGTCAACTTTTTCAAGTAAAATGTTTCTCATCCTATTTAGATAGTTACTTCCGTATGTCCACCTTAACTTGGTATCCAGTAACTACAGTCATAATATAACCATAACTAACTGTATATACAAATACATGCTTGCAGAAATATAACTTAGCTTCAAAATAGTGTCTTAGCTGTCTGGCTATGAATAGGTGAACATGTACATAACTGTACTTAGGAAAAAAAAAACCAAACAACTTTAAATCTCAAATGTTTACCATGCTAAAGAAAACAGAAAAAAACAGGTCTAGAATTTCTATTTAAGATCAACAGATGAAATAACTCAGACATTTATTTCTCATTTCACACATAACAGCAAGGAGATGTGGGCATTCAAGGAAGCATTTTTAGAAGAAAGGTTAGTAATGCTGAACATCATTGGTAAAATACTTATTTTGCTTTCCTCAAAACTTCAAGGCATTAAGGCATTTATCAATAAGAAGAGGAATTATTGAACCTATTTAATCCCAATCCCAAAGCCATCTTCAGGCAATCCAAGTGCTCCTCCTACCAAACCGAATTTCCGCCATCCAGCCATTTACACGAATGTTCTACAAAAACGAGAAAAGTTCTCTTTGTCAAAAGCAATTAGAGAAATGGTCCAGCAATGCCTTCAAAACTCATAATTAGATACAGTCTTTACTCAACATTGTAAGTTTTTGGCCTCTTCCCTGAGGCAGGTTAATTTTTCTGTGGTCCCCAAACAGTGCTGCTACCCACTCAGATCCCTTTGACCCAGCCTGGGTGGTAGCAGAGAGAAATCAGTGTCAAACTTCACACGAGCTGCCTACCCCACAGGACTGATCCAGGGGGCAGAGATGGAAATTAAAGAGAATTAAATGTAAAAAAAATAAAAAGAAGGCATTAAACCAGGTAAGTTTTATGCAATTATGCAATCTCAGCCCTCAGCCTGTGATCCCACACAAGGAGGACAGATCCTCAGTCATTTTGAACCAAGAGTCTTGCCCTGACTGTGGAGAAGGCTTGAAAAAACTCAGTGTAATTAGTTTAAAGGTGCCTGCTTGTCTGATTTTCAGCTACTCTGAGAGGTGTGAAGTGTCTTATGGATCTCAAGAGGAATTAACTGCACAACTTACTATTCTAATGGGCCCAGGCTGCTGCCCAGCATAGTAAGAGTGCAATTTAGCAGGAAAGACCAAATAAGCAAATAATCCCAGGCTGCTGAGGTAAATATTGCTACCACCGTTGCTTCCAAGAGCCTCTGGTTGTCTCCTTTGCCTCCTTAAATGGAAAACAAGTTCACTCTTGCCACGTTTTCGGCTAGTGATGGGAAGAGACAGAAGGCAAAATCCAGCGGGGAGAAGGCAGAAGGTGAATGGACATCAGGAATTTGTGCCATCCCAGGGAAAACAATGAGGTGGCATATGAGGTGCCTTTGAATATATTGCAGCTTGACTTTATTTCTTTGCATGACCACGTAAAGATTAGCAAACAGTTCCAGCCTCCCAAGCCTCCTATCAGGCTGGCTTCTAACACCTCCAAGTGCAATGAGAATTACCAAGTATGTGATAATTACATTCTGCATAGGCAGATCAATATTATTTAGAAAACTGCTATTTCACGTAGAAGAAGATGTACCAGAAGCCGAAAATCAAATCAGAAGGTGGATAAATGCAAGGGTTTAATTTTATTTTAGCTTCTTCCACTATTATCAATTGTGCATGGTTTGATCCTAAGAAGGTATTGACAATAACATGGATTGCTTCCAATGATATTTTTACCTTAGAGGAAGGATATGAAGTTATACATTATACAAATTTGGTTACAGTCCCTAAATTAGGCCACAGAGAAAGGGATGGTGCACCTCTGAACTTCAGTTTGCATCCTGTGCTCATTAAACAATACAATAACCTATACTTCCTTTTTTTTTATATACATCACTGACAAGCTAAAACTAGCATCTTTAAAGAACAGTCCTTCAGAGGAATATTCAAATATGGTACAACTAATGAATACAACAGTAGGCCTCAAACTTTTGGCTGTGACTGCACTTCCAGACCAGCAGTTTTTAAGTGCTTCCAAAAATACCATATTAAACAAGACACTGGACATTGGGCTTGTGAGTCCACCTGTAAATATTAAGTCTCACTGGGGTAATGACCCAGTCACAGAACCACTAAAATACAAACTCTCTTTCACTACAAAATCTGCAAAAATGTGTACTTCAGTGCTTCTCTCCAAAGTAGGCTGTAATGCTTCTCTCTAGAGGAAGCCACAACCTTTGGATAGGTACTAGAAAACTAAAATACAGATTGCTTAGTTCTATAGTATGATTTTCCCAAGATAATGCTTGTGATAATAAATGATAATTTAAAAAAGCAGAAATTAAACTTCTAATTTCATTACTTCTTTCATACAACTGCACAAGCGGTTGAAATGATTACTTTGCTATACAGCAATTAATTTAAACTGTACAAATCTGAAATGTGTGTCTCACATAAGCACCGGTGTAAGTGGGGGGGGAAATGTGAGTAAGGAATAATCCTCAGAATTATCACTTAATGACATTCCTCACAGCAATTCCAGCCTACAGCACCGTTTCTGCTTTACTGTTACTTTTTCGTACCCCTTGACTGTCACAATACAGCAAAACAAGTGGTAAGGAAGGTCCTGAGCCAGTTACTAGAGCCCCTTGCATTATAATCACTGGTGCACTGTGGTATACTGTGGTATGATACAAGACAAAACTTTCTCTCTAACACAGCACCCGACTTATCTCACTTATCTCACTAGCAAAGGTAGCCAAATGTATTATAAACAGAAGAGGTTAATAAGCTGCTATGTATCTAGATGTATATTTTAAAATTCTAAACTTTGAAGTTCAGATATGGGTATATTCTTGGGTAAATACTTCGGATTTTTTTTAAATTGGTTGTTTGAGAAAGCCTTTTGACCTAAACATTATTTAATATCACTTTACTCTTACAACAAGTAGCCAAGGAATTTCTGAGGTGCACACTTTTCTACACTACAGAAATTTTATCTTCAAATATGAGATAACCAGAAGTCACCTATAAAGGCAACTGAAATGAAAGAAATAAGGATCACATCGAACAGCCACTTAGATACTTTTTATTTTTTACAAATATTTATGTGAACAGTTAAAAAGTATCCAGGCCAAAATATTCAATGGATTAAAGTCAATGGTAGTTGTCATTAATATTCTGAAATTGATAAGTTGTTTATGTCTGGCATTCTTCCTGCTGGTTATGCAGTGAGACAGGCAGCCTTATAAATATT